ATAGCTTAGCTTGAACTCCACCATGTTTTCACCCCTGGACCTTAACCTAGGTTCAGCCTCCACTAGAAATTATCAGCCTCCCCTGTTGGACAACTTTTGTCCCTCCTGAATAATGGAATAAAAAGCTTACAAAATGTAATTTATATTAATTTGTGAAGTATTATTTACCATTTTGATCTGTTGATGATTGTGCAGGTTGACCCAGACTGTGCGTATGCCTACATTTTGCTAGGCCACGAGTATGTGTCAACTGAAGAGCTTGATAAGGCGATGTGCTGCTTCAGAAGTGCCATCAGAATTGACCCAAGACATTATATAGCCTGGTAAGAAAGCTAGAAAATGTTGTCCTATTTTGAAGTAGAGATTGGAGGGTAAAGTGGTTGTGAGAATGCTGTCATAGTGGAAATGGTATGGATGGGTGCAGAGGGGGTGAGTTTGTTCAAATGGTGGTGATGTGGAAAGTGATAAGGGGAATGATTGCTTAATGTTCTGTAGAAAGCAGTGGTCGTGCCAATGGTAAAAGGAGGTTTAAGCTTTTCCTTTGAACACTTGGTTGTTAGTGACCACTGTTAGTGTTGGTTGTCATAGGTGGCGATGACACTGGTAGCAATATGTCAGCTTTTAAGAATGTTGCAACAATAGAAGACCTTGGTGGTGGTGATGGTGATGGTGACAGTGGTGGTACAGGTGACAGTAATGATAATGACCATAATGTAATCAGACCATCAGAACTAACCATTGATTATCTAACAGGTATGGCACTGGTATGATCTACTATAAGCAGGAGAAATTTAGCCTAGCTGAGGTACACTTCAAGAAAGCACTCAATATAAACCCCCAGAGCCCAGTACTGATGTGTCATGTAGGAGTAGTCCTGCATGCCTTACAAAGGCCTGCAGAGGCCCTAGAAATGCTCAAGAAAGCTCTGCATCTAGACCCCAACAATGCCCTCTGCAAATTCCGCAAAGCATCCATCCTCTTTGCTATGGAAAGATACCAGGTAGGAAAAATCATCTTTAACATGGATGAAACTGCTTACTATCCTTTTTCTAACATCAATTGTTCCTGATGGACCTCTTCTATATTTCTTGAACATAAACACTCTTATATCTCAAGCCTCTATCTCTCTGACACTACCTGATTCAGGAAAACTCTCTTCTTTTTTTCAAACTGGAGATAATCTTTTCACTCAGAGGAATCGCTCTTCTTCCCCCCTCACTCCCTCTATGATTCATAGGAAATCCTAGCATTATAATCAAAGTAAATAATTTTTTTTTGTTTTGTTTTAACAGGCTGCTCTTGATGAATTAGAAGAGCTTAAACAGATTATTCCAAAAGAATCACTCGTCTATTTTCTAATGGGAAAAGTAAGTTGTTCTCAGAAATGTGGTAAATATATTAAAACAGCATAAACAATTTGACAAATTCCATAGGTCTGATACTAAAAAATGTTAATATTTTTTAATTTTATATCTAACTGTTTGAATGATCTTACAGATATAGAATTTCTGGTAGCGCTTCAAAGTATTAATTTCAAAGCTTAGCGTTGTGCTCCTTCTTGTGCTGAAAATCCTGGTTCAATCTCGGCCAGCGTTGGGTTTAATTAGAGTCAAATCGGTTTGCTTCTCAAACAACACTTGCATGAGATTTAGGTGGGATAAGGGACAATGTATCTGTTTACAAGTCGGTGTTGGCGACGCACTGCGGCTGCCGCAGGCCCAAGTTTTCCAAATTCAAACATTTTAGAATTGGACAAAAAAAGCAACATTTTATGTTTAATCATTTTTATTTTATGCATTTCATAGACTGGACCTGCAATGGATAAACCTAGAGCTTAGTTATAGTTCTTTTAGCTCTGTAAACTTGACAGTATTTAAGTTTTATTATCTCTTCCTGATTGCAATATTTAATTCCAATAATGTATGGATAGGTAGATTATTTATGGTAAATAATCTACCTATTTATTTATTTATTTATTTGAACTATATTTAATGAGAGTGATCCATCTCAGCAGAAGCTGATCATTAGGGACTCTCAACAATTACTGAAAACATCTTAACTACCAATTTAAATTGGAATTGGAATATAAAATATAAAGCATTAATACAAACATTACCACTTAAAATTAATATAACTAAAGATATAATATGCAGAGTATTGCAACAGCCATAACAATTAGATATAAGCTAAAAAATTAATTTTCTCATTAAGAAAATATAGTAAAAATTTAGCATCAAACAAATTAAGTCAAAAGGAAAAAAAAAAGAATAACAGGTAAAATAAAAATAACTAAATATATGATAAAATGAGTCAATAAAAAATAAAAGTAGTCAGAAAAATCTATCTATACATTATGGATTGGAAGACAGTATGTTGAATTGGGATTTTGTGTTTCTTTGTAGGTATACAAAAAACTTGGTCAGACCCACCTAGCACTGATGAACTTCTCCTGGGCTACAGACCTTGATCCGAAAGGTGCTAACAACCAGATCAAAGAAGCTATAGATAAACGATATTTACCAGATGAAGATGATCCAGTGGCCTCCATGGATTTACCTGAGCAAAGCACCCCTGGTGAGAAAATTATCTTTTTTTTCCGGTAAATAAGTTAAAGAAAATAATTATGCTACTACACTATTTTTACCATTTTGTTTAATTAAGTGTTATATTTCTTTATATGTGCCTGTATTAAGCAAAGTTATAATTAAGTATAATGAGCTTTTAGTTCAAAATTAAAATAAGAAGTATTCTTTGCTAGTTTAAAAATGCAGAAATAATATAAATTCTATGTTTTTTTTGGCATGAATTGATAATATATATGGTAGTCAGTATAAGGATTTTTGTAGTATAAAGACTCTGAATCACTGAAAAACCTTATTGTTCCAATATGTTTGTCTCAGTGTGCCTCTCAGCTTTAGTTAGTAATTTTTTAGATCATTTATAATAAGCAATATATTGAACTGGATTTGTGTATGTTTTTCCATATTACCACAGTGAGTTTATCTTTTAATTTAAGAAAATTAATAGTAACAGTAAGTTTTTAAAAACTGTATATTTCATTTCTGTAGGAGTAAGTGAAGAAGAAGGCCCCCTAGCTGATGGTAGTATTTCACTGGATAGCCTGGCAGAAGGTGAGCATATGCAGCTACAAGCCAACGAGAGTGATGAGAGTTTATGACGTTCATGAATCAAATCAACCGATAAAATTCCCTCCACACATGAGGAAAAAAGGATTTAAAATAGGTACAAAATAGGGTGAAAGACCATGGCTACAGATTTAGCCCCATTAGTTGCTGAAATTATGAATTTCAACAAAGATTCTCTTTAAATCCCTTAAGTTACTGAGAATGTGAATGTTACTGACACTGGAGTTAAAAAGCATTGAACTTGTCAAAGTTCTATTCAGTCAACCAGCCCAGTGCTGTTTGTAGGCCGGTTGTTCCCTAGCAACGTCTACTCAATGGATCTTCCTGCTAAGCCCCTCCCCTTGGATATTGTTGCTAAGGTCCCACAAAACAACAGTGTAATAACATTGGTCGGTTGTTAAGTTTGATTGACACAATGGAAGGGTCCATTGTATCAGCATTTACACATAACCAGGGACTGCTGGAACATACAAAAAAATTTCTTCTAAATCTTTAATTTATTTAAAATTCAGATGAAGATGTAAAATATTACATGATATAGCAATGTTTTCAATATCAGATTAATAGTCAAGTAATTAAACCTGCTGAAATGTTCCCATTAAAATTCCTACCATATCAAAAAGTATAGATCAATATTGAATATATATCTGTTTTGAGAAATTTTTATATAGTATATCTCATCCTTTTTTTTGTTGTAAATAAAACAAAAAATTACTAATCAATTAATATTCCTAAGTCATGTTTTTACTTTTCCTTCTCCATTGTAGACCCAGAAAGGTTTCTTTGATTATCCATATCTTGAGGTTTATATGCATTTTAGCTGTTTTCAACAAAATCATGGTATTTCTCTGAAAAATGTGGATTCAAATTTGGAATGGTCTCCATAAGGGATGCATTTACTGACATTGGAGATGTAATTAAATTGGGGTTTATTTTACATTGTACGGCAAGACCTTTTAATACCTTGTTTTGTGAACCCACTGTCCACCGATAATGATGATTTTGAATTAAAAATATAGTATTTTTGGCCTTAGTACACCCAGCACAATAAAAAAAAATACTGCAAAATAAAATCTTTCCTACAATTAAGTAAATGTAAAGTATTTTATCAATCTGATTACTGAAGTGTTTACATCGCAACAATCGCTTTCAAATCTCAAGTGAGGGCCTCCATTACTTTTTCAACTCTCACACTCGCATTTTTAATTCATCAATAGAATTATACTTACATTTTCACTCCTTTGTCTCGATGCTTTTTGCAAAACCATTTATTTAGATTTTTTTCGGTCCACCTATGAATGTTTTTCAAAAAATAAAGTTTTCTAAACAAGGTATAAAAATAATTTTGCCTATTGATCAATTATTCCTCGTGCATATTCAGAAAAGAATTATATAAAATATTCTATCATCAATTTTCTTACCTAACAATCTATAACTGTTGTCTATAAACCACTGCCAACTACCTTCAAAATCTATAGAGTCAAAGGTCAAAGACCATAAAATCATTTTGTCAAAGGTCTGTCCCTGCAGTTATCAATATTATGTATGTACTGTATGTCTTTGTAAGTCAAGAACAATATCAAGCTTTAATAAAGTTTAGTAACTATTGTAGCTGGACATTGATTTCCATAGCAATTTCAAATGCAGAACACTGCACTCTTTGTCTCACTGCCCTTTATTTTGTGTACTGCACTCTATCATGTATACTGCCCTCTATTGGTGTTGCTGATTGTACTATGGATCAATAGACCAATATCTGTATTTATATGTGTAAGATGATATTAGGAGTGGTCTGGTTAACAAATGGAGTTATATCAATGTTTTAATTACACTAAAGAAAGTAATACCGAAAATTGTTGATTTTAATACTGTATAAGAAAGTGAAAGTGTGTTAAATAGGTATGCTTCAATATAAATTCTATGTATCTTTATTATTTTTAATAATAGTAATGATAATACTGTAATAAAAATAAAATATTCAATTAAAGTGGCTTAAAATATATACTTATAACTGCTATTATCATTAACATTATTACTGTAATTATTATCATTAACATTATTATTAGTAGAATTAAAATATGTAGTTCTGTTATTATCATTAAGTGTATCTTGATGTGTTGTTCGATGTGTTGATATTTTACTTTATAAGTAATAGCCCAGATCTTGGTAAATTCATGATCAACTTATAAATGTTTATCACTTATTATCACATAAAATATTTCAGAAATAGAGAGGAACAATTGAGTTGAGGAAAATTTTATGAAAAACAAAATTACTTGCAGGAAAACATGGTGCTATGTTTATACCAGTTACCATGGTAATCATTTCAGGAATTAAGACAATAATACAGGTTTTAAACTATGCTGGTCATCTATTTATTTTCAATGGAATTGTTTCCTTTTGTTCTTCCTAGCAAGGTTAAGAGCTAAAAAAATGAAAAGAAATTCAGTATAAACACAACCAGGTTGAACACAAAGAAATGACCGGCAAGCACTGGTCCTAAGGTATGTCCAGGCTACCTCTGATTTTCCCATACATGTGTGTGATATTGTATTATGCCCATATATGGGTATTACATCATCATGCCCATAATAAAGAAATCAAAAATATTTGTCAGAGTGACTGAGCTTTAATCCTGAAACAAGAAAAAAATCTTGGCAGACGTCATGTAGGAATGCCAGTCGGAGAGATTCCTGTGTCCGTGCAGTCTTAAATCTTGTATTGTGAAGACAAACCATTGTTTAAAGAAACAAAAATAAAATATACATTTTTTTTTTTTAGAATTTCAAAAATGTTTAATTTAGAAGTTGTGTTGGTGTAGTATATTATAACAGGTGATGATCACTGGTTATAAGAAGTTCGTTATTTTGAATAGTGAACAATATAATGAAAACTCTGATGTGTAAAGGGCTTAGTAAATCAAGTAGTTAAACTTTTATGACATGGTTACCAATACAGTACCATTGTTATTGCTACCATGGATTCATGGTGTCCCTTTGTAAAGGTTACTGTACCTTGGGTATTGGTTCATACCATGGTTTATTGATTGTCATATCATTACAATGGTTTCAAAACCATGATCACTGTTTCCATACCATAGGCGCCATTACCTTTCCCATGTGTCAGTTTGCATATCATTGGTTGCCATACTATTGTTTCTGTTTCTATACCTTGTTATTGGTTGCTTTACCATGGTGTTAGTTTGCATAACATATTGGTTTCCTTACCATGGTGGCAAATTTTAAAAAATTCATCTCGATCAAATATATATTATTTGGTTTTTCTTTATTTTTTTTTCGATGCTCCAGAAAAAAATGTTTATATTACTTCCCATACCATAGTTTCAATTGGTATACTGTGGTATTGGTAAGCACACCAATACCACAGTATGTTCATGGTTTTTGTAAGCTATGGTACCTAACATCAGGACATCAATATTGCATTAATAATGTTGATTGAACTATTATCATGGTGCAACAATTACTATCTAGAACATTATTCTTTTCTATTGAGACAATGCAATAACCTGTTTCAATATTTTGTAGTTTCGATAGATTGTTTTTAATAACATTATGTTCTAAATCTCAAAGTTACTTGTGTTCTTTGATTTGACATTATTTTGATGTATGTAAATTAAATTGTATGAAAATGTAGCAAATAAAAATACTTGTTTCAAACTAGGATTCAGGCAAAGTAAATAGTTGCTATATATGTCTCATGGCTTTCTAATAAAAGAAAATTACAGTGAAATGTATTTTAACGTTCTTGATAATTTCAAAACCATTATGCAGTATTGTAAATGTAATTCACCTACTCTACATTAAAATGAAATAGGTAGTCTTTGCTTCTGTCTCGAAGTAAAAACAAATTCAAATAAATCACTGAATTAAAGATAAAGAAGTTATCAAACTTCAATAAAACAGAAGTCAAATCAATTCAATTTTTGCTGATTTAAAAATATTAAGTTGATTTCAAGTCAATTTAATGCCGTCTATGCAAGAATGTAGGAGCTGTATTATTTATGCGTCTGTGGGACAACGTGTGTGCTTGAAGGATCCAGGCGTATTCCTGGCCCCGCTCTGATTGGTCAGTTAAGTTTGATTGACATTTCGGAAAGGTCTGTTAATATACTAATCCCAACATACTCTAACTGCAACAAAAAGCTGTAAAGGTTTTTACCCTATTCTCTTAAAAGAATACCATACAGGTGAAATGTCCAGAATATGTAAATTTATATCCTGTCAAAAATTTGCATAATGTCCCAGGTGTACTTAAGCCATATTCAACATAAACAGTATACTCTACAAAAAGGCATGCAACTGAACACAAGTGATGTAATGTTAGGTGTCAGAACTCTAGGTAACATTCATTAACAGTATCCCTTCTGCTACCATAGCATAGACTCCATGCTGAGGCCATTTACTGTACATCAGAATATATGTAAGTATGTGCTTCTATTGTTACTCAAGAACATAAATGTACAGTGTCACTAAATTCATAAAATATCTTTATTATTTTTCATGTTTTGACACCTGATGATCTGAGAAAAGGATTTCTGTAATTTAACTCAAATTTATGAGTATTTTGTCTTATGCACAGCTGTATTCAAGTAAAAAAGAACTTCACCTTTTTGACTTAAGTTATTAATCATAAGTAGAAATACATAGGCCTACCAAATAAGTCATTTTTTTTGTTATGGTAACAATTGTTTACTTTTAAATAGTAAGAAAATTATTACGACAATCAAAAGTCATGTAAAGTAGCAATTCTCTATAGACTCGAGTACATGTCCTGCAGGATTAGCCAATCATGGCACACAGAGCTAAGGATGTTTACATTTCAAGGTGAATGCTGCTTCACTCTAAATAAAATTCAACAGCTTTAATGGAAGGAATAATAGAAATAAACCCAAAAAATAATACTTTAATGGTAATGATAAAAATAGTATTGGTAATAATACAATTCAATCTCCAATTAGATACCACCGTTCAGACGGACGGTTGTGTGGGACTTGAAAATGTAGGTGGTCTCTGGGTTCAGCCCCAATCGAAGGGTTAGCTTTGTGTTAAAATAATGTTTGTTGGTACTGTACATTAAAAAGGTGGTCTTGAATTAGATGGGTCTCAATATGGAGGGCAAACTTTAATAATTAATTTTAGTGTAGCTTTTGAATCTGAGGCCCAACTCGCATTTAGAGTGTGCAACAAAAATAAAAGTACATTATGAAAACATGATAAAAGGATAAACTAGAAAAAGCTTGCATGTTCATACTATATGCCACCACCACAAAATGAGCCATTTCCACCTCTAATTGATTTCAGGTAATAGTAAAATAGGTGGGAGAAAGAATTAGGTGAAAATGAGTTTCATTTTTCAATTTATTTTCTTTGTAAGTTTATCAAGTCAAAACATAAGTGAATACATTCTGTATCCCAATAGTGTTATTATTTTTTGAATATTTATTAGGCACATAAGCCAGAGATTGGCAATAGCAAATTAAGCCACAGGCAAATGACCCAAAGCCAATTTTCTCCAAAATCTGTTTTCATACAGTACATGATTTTGTTCCATTAAATGCCATATGTCTTATATTATACCAGTAAAATTGCTGAATGTTTTATTATGTAAAGATGAGAATGTCATGTTTGTAGTCTATGATGGAACAAAAGTCCTTTTGTAGTGGCTGATTGCACTGGCAATTTTTTTGTGCAGGCATATAACCATTTTATTTATTTAAACAATGTTACGTGAGGGTGGTGCATTCTGCTGAAACTAATTATTTGTGACCCTCATATACATACATACATAGCATAACCAAAGAAAAACAAATTGGATCAAACAGTTTGAACTGATTTTTAAAATATAATATATTAACATACATATGCACAACTATAAAACATAATAATTAAAATTAAATAATATTTTTCTTAGGCTAAAGTATATTTATAATAATTATTTAATAAATTAAAATATTTTTGTTTTAAGTTACCTTAAAGATGTATTGTCCTTTTCTAATGTCAAAAAAAATCATAAAAAACAATTTTGAAATAAACTTGCTCATATTGCAATAGCGTACAAATTATTAACTTGTGCATAAAAATTATTGAATTTTAAAAATGTGTACCCTGATTTTTAAATCAAAAAATTATAATAAAAATAATAAAACACTTCCAGTGATTGGAAGTGTTTCTATCATTTTTCACTGTAAATTGATGGGTAGACATTTTTTAAATACACTATTTTCTATATTCAAGTTGATAACTTTTATGTTACTTCAAAGTGGGCAAGTTAATTTCAAAAAATATTTTTATGATTTTTTTTGGTATTTAGCATGGGACAATACATCTTTAATTTAACGTTTTAGATTATAAAACAAATAGTTAACTTAATGTCATAAAACTTTAAAACCAATTAAGCTAATTAGTTGAGCACATGAAAGAAAACATAATCCCTACAAAATTTGAAATAATCAACGATATAATTTAGTTATTGTATATTTCCTTTTGAAAAATTGCATGTAGAATACAAATAATTTGAACTGAAATGTAGGCAGTTGAAGATTTCTCATAGTTTTAAATATTCATGAGTGTGTCAGAGCATACAAGCAATCTAGCTTATCACACAATGCATAATGTTCATTCCATACATGCTAAGCAGTGGCATATCCGGGGGTGTTGGGGGAGGGGGTGCACAGGATTCCTGAGCATACCCTTTCAGAGGTTGACAAAAAAAGGAGTCACTGATTGGCAAGAATACTAGTTTCGCTGTTCAGTCAGCAAAACACTCTTGATGTCTTATTTAAAGACTACTGTAGGTGATAATTTTGTACCTTGTACTAATACTAACAGGCTCTACAATCAATTTTTTTAACCCCTATGTACAAAGCCACTGCGTATGGTGATGATTATCTATGTAGCGTAATCTTATATCCAAGAAACCAATACCAGCTTTATATTTATTAAATATTTCTGATGGGAAATCACAATAGAACTACTGTACTTAAGAGCTTTCTTTATGATTGTTTTAGACTTGTGTAATATTGATGATAATATCATGATTGATGAATTCTGGTTATTTGATGACTGACACCGCACCCATCAATCTAATAATGTTTAAACTAAATTAAAATGTAATAATTTAATTTGTTTTTGTTGACTCAATTTGTAAAATAAAAACAATTTAAAAAGGTAATTGAAGTTTCAATTCCAGGAAATTAAATACTGAAATTTTTTGTACCTCAATGACAACTATGGTGGCGTATGTGGGCCGGACTCTCTACTTTAGCACCCCACTTCCTTAAATCTTAGATAAGCCACTGCTAAGTTATAGGACAGATTATTTTGTTGTTTATATGCTTTGACATGACATGTGCAGCCAAAACTGCAAGATGACATATATATATATATATATACATACATTAATGGATAAATATATAACAATATTCGATAGTTGGTATGCTTATATTGCATACTATGTTATTTAACAGTATACATACCTTCTTCACCGGGACTTGAGATTTCAGAAACGTTGAGGAAGTATGTGCCCACATGTTACGAAAAGAAAAACAGTATTGAGATTTCGTTTAGAGCTTTGTGTATGCTATTTTTTGTTTTTCATTACCACATCATTCTGCAATGCATTTTACCAGCCTACAAATATATAAAAATCCTAACTTGTAAAAAAATAATCTCCAATTAATTACATTTAAAACACATTGAAAGAGAATGCAATAAACATTAAAACCTTAAAATTGACCTGTAGTTATTTATAAAGATGGTTGAAATCTCTATACCAGGAGGTACAATGCTTCTGTTTTCATGCTAATGCTGAAGATTTTCTTTGGTTTCATTCTGCTTAAATTCTTAACAGATTCAGTCTGCTTAAATGCTTAATATGAACTTTAAATGCTAACAGAGTTTGCTTTTACATGCTTAGCAGTAATAAAAGAGTGCTTAAATGGATATAAGCACAGTTAGCTATTTATACATGTGATATCCTACCTCTTGATGGGTTGCACTGTATCTAGTTACTTTACCAGTTTTTAAACTGTAATTATTTTCTTATAATTATGATCAAATGAATTTTTTTTTATTTTAATTTTATTTTTACACATCCAACAAGTACACAAAAGGTGCTTGATAATCTAGTAAGTCTCTTTATGTGGAAGTAGAGTGGTTTTAGTTAAGAAAAAAACATTTTTGTATCTCAGGATTTGAACCCAGGGCCCTGAGTTTGGAAGGCAAGCATCTACAGCTCCAATCTGCTGGGTAAATCCTGTCTTTACAAATCTGTGTTGTAAGATATTTGTTGGGCAATTTAAAATTGCTTCAAATGCAATAATAAATAATGTTTCATAATTATAATACTATGCAATTACAAATCTTAGTAAAGTAAAATATGAATTGTTTTACTTCATTTTAGTTCACGCTTACAAAAACATAATAATTGTGTAACTACAAAAGTAATTTTCATCAAGAAAGTTAAACAGCGATGTTACTTTTACATGTTACCACGCTGATTACTCAGTACGTTCCTCAAAACCTTGTGAATAAAATGCAAATGATTCAGTTGGGATCAGACCCATGACCACAAGCAACTAAGCTTGTACAAATCCCCAAATAGCAGGGGTAATGCAATAACAAGTTTGCAAGCAAACATAATTTTTTCACCAAGTGCACACCATACATTGTTTGTGCTCAACCACCATAGGTTAGAGTGCGTGTGACTACAGACGTGTGTTGGTGGTATTAATAGTGTTGCTTCGTGTCTAATAGAAGTGCACTATAACTTTTTCTAGAAAGTGTCCTTTATATTTAAAAAAAAAAATTAATGCTTAAAATATTTAATAGGATTCCCACTGGAATCACATGCAATAGAAAAAAATTGGGGTTACACTGAGTATTTAGTGTGCTAACACATCAGGTTGGAAAAATAACATTTCAATAATAGTTTTAAAATAATCAAATTTAATGCATCACTGATAAAAATAAACTGTAGCTTTTCTCTTCTATAGATACTGATAATGGTGTTAGAAATAATGGCATTTAATCTCTCATTGAGGCCAATTTTGTGAGATATTCTTCAATGATTCCAGCTTCCTCATGGAGGGTAAGGTCCAGGTAATCTTCCTCATGTTCAGGAATATCTGGGGCTAGCTCCTTGAGAGCTTCTTCCTGCTCCTTCGTCAGGCACTCTCTCTCACCCTCTGAAATTTAAATAACATTTGGTAAAATCATTTTTCTTGTAATGCAGTGTAGTTTAGATTCATATAGCACTTTATACCAAAACGGTCTGAAAGTGCTTGAGGTGGGGACTATTATAGCTCTTAAGTAACTTGCTTCTCCCTTAAAGGTCTCTTTGTGTCTGAGTAACATTTGGTAACATCATTTTTCTTGTAATGTTGTGTAGTTTAGATTCATATAGCACTTTATACCGAAACGGTCTGAAAGTGCTTGAGGTGGGGACTATTATAGCTCTTAAGTAACTAGCTTCACCCTTAAATGTCTCTTTGTGTCTGAGCTTATAATCAGTAAGCTGGTACCAACTACTTTTGTGTGTACACAACAGGGGCCTAATGGAACAGTACCCCGAGGTAACTCCCTAAAGTGCACATGAGCCAAATTGTGTACACTGGGCCTACAGCATATACAATAGTCTTTATTCGAGAAGACTTGTTCCACTACCAGAACCATAAACGAGCATGCCGGCATGTGAAATTTATTACAAGTAACAAGAGCTTTCACTTACGTTTGTGGTCCCTAGATGTTGATGCCCTATGGCAACTGGGAGGTAGTAGGCCACCATTTTCTACTAGTACTTCAATTGCTTTCTGTACGTTGCCATGGTAACTTATTAACGCTTGCCTGGCAATCTCCTTCATGAAGCCCAATTCAGAGAACTGTACAAAAATGTTTAAAAAAAAGTGAACAAGTGAGATAATAATTTACAAAAAAGATATAATAATATAAAAAAAATTGCTCATATTCACAACTAAACAAATGCTACAGGCATTTAGAAAAAAATAAACAAGAGTAAAATAAAATTTCAAATCAAGAGAAACCCACAGTTCCATAATATATAAATATTCATCCTTAAATGCCAGTTAAAAATAGAAACAGCCTAAGTTCTCTATATTATTATTGGAAGTGAAGTAAACTAATTTATTTGTAGATGCATTAAACTGTGATGTAATTAAATAAATGGAACTCCCACTTTAACACGAATGACATCAAATGGTTCCTCTGATTTTCACAGTTAACAAAAGTATTTTAGAGAATTAAAGTAAAATAATGAATACCTGGAAAAGCATCTCCTCTGTGATTTCCCCTTGCCAGTCCCCTGGGTTTGGCATGTTTAGTAGTTCAGGGTTTTCTTGCAGTGTCTGTAAGGCCAGGTTGATATCACTGTTGCATTGTTTGAGTGCGGATGCTGCCGCATTGGCTGGGAAGCCCATGGATAGGAGTGTGTTGTAGACATCAATGTTAACCCTGTTGAAAGAGGGTAGAAATCATTATAGTTTGGATTATTAGGCCAGTGTTCATGTTACTGTAAAAATATTAAAATTTTTCCAATAACAAGATTAAAATATGATGAAGATGATGATAATGGTAAAGATACTCGGGAGCGGATTTCGGGAGGGAGGGGCCCACCCCACTTCCCCTTTTTTTTGGAAAGTTAAAAAAAAAATAAATAAAAAGAAATTACTGATCACCCAAAAGGCCTCAAGAGGTTATTTCTGGGCATTTAGAAAAAAAAAATTTCCGGACTCCCCTAGTCCATCTATGATCTGCCCCGACACTTCTTAAAGTCATGATGATGATGAAATTAATGTTCATTTATCTGGGAGAATATATCAAGACAAACCATTCTCCATTTGCTGCTTTCCCAATCAGCCTTTGTTTTTTCCTCTTTTCATGTTCTTCCGTTTCTTTCTTGGCTATCTCTTTCCTGCGTTCCCTCCTCTCGGTAATTTTATTGACAGCCAGTTCCAGATGTCCCTTTGCTGCCCTCAATCCAAGTCTAGCTTCCGAAGTACTGAAATATGTCTGTCTCTTATACACATCTAGATGTGTATAAGAGACAGATATATATCAGAATGAATATTTAAAGAAATATTAAGTCCAACTCCTAATCCGTTTCATTACAGTAGTTACTAAAAAAAAATATACTGTCTGTGTTAACTTGTAAAAATTTAACTGGGATTTCTTAATTTTAAGCCTTGACCAGATTATCAAGTTTTACTTGACAAAAAAATTTGACTAAATATGGTCATGGCATCTCATCATGACCACATAGGCACATCATGACTATATATGGGCATACAACAATTTTTGGTCAAAGAAAATCTGATAAACTGGACAGGGCTTTACATATATGTGGCAAAGAGAAGCCAAATCAGTCACTCGCCAAAAATTGTCTTTCAGAGATAATGGCCAAAACATGCTGGAATGTCAACATTTTTGAAATCTATTTTATGCACTAAACTAGCCTTTATATATCTATGGATCATGGTATGTTATTATTTTCTCCTTTCTCAATTCTAAAACAACAATTTGGTAATGGTTTCTGCCTGAGAAATGCCCTAAATCGCAAACTTTGAAGGATGATTTTTCAAATATTTTCTTTAAACAGCTGTTTAAACTCCTGTAACCTCATAACGAAATGTCGGATTTAAATGATTCTTTTACCATTTTATAGATCTCATTGTACTGTTTAACCATTTATTGAAAACAAAAAATATATTTTTGTTTGAGAGGAGTGACTGGTTTGTATTGTCTTTGCCACATATGCTCTCTAGTAAATGTTTCTACATTGATATTTGGTCTTGCCACCATGTATGCCTACCTTATCAAGGAGTTGAATGCTAAGCTGCTTGTTACGTTGGTAAAAGGCAATGATTCCCTGAAGGAGGTAGAGCCTGACAAACAGGGCTAGTTCACGGGAACTGTCCCCCTTCAATGCCTTAAGTCGCTCCATGTCCGCACCATAACTCCTTTTGAAGCAGTCCTCACATTTTTTCAATCTGGATTCTTCGAAAGAAAAATATAACACTATTATTAAAGTATCGATATTTGCTTCCCTTTCGAGCATTCTTATTTAAAGGGGTGGGCATAAAAATGTGTCGGCGGTAAAAGAAGACATATTTCTTTTCATTAAGCTCTCATCACACAGAAAATATGTGTGATTTGAATATTAATGGGCTTAATGCACTATATAAGTCCTCAACCATTAACATTAATGATATAATATCACATAAGCAAACCACTGTGGTTAAAATTGTAAAGATATATTTTTATTATGAATGTGCAGTAAATCTTACCTAGAGTCAGCCAATATATTTTCATTGGTGGTAGAAGTAGTTGTATTTATTTGTTAGTTTATTTTCTATGGTTGTTTTTAGACAGGAGAATATATTTTAAGTCTACAAACCTGCATCAGGAAGGGCATCAATGTTTTGCAAACAGAAATAACACCAAGTGATGTCAAGGCAAAGGACTGCATAGTTATCAACAGCGGACAAGATCTCGGACCGACACTGGCTGCAAAGTAAGTGGAAAAATAATCAGTGTATACTGCATTTACATTTAGCTGTGCGTATGCTGATTTGTGCTCCTGTAGTACGCATTAACTCACAGAGCTAACGATGTTACACATCAGCAGTACAGTACAGATAGGATGAATAACTATTGTATTGTGTTAGAAGAACTTGTTTGCAATGCTATTTTGATAGACATTCGTCAAAGAAATAAACATTTCTTAAAGCACTTAAGAGAAACTACAGTAGTCACTTTTTGGTCTGCAGACAGATAAAATCATGTGATGATTTCATAACTAGGCAAGGCTATGGCTTAGGAGAAGGCCTTGGCGGCCTCTAGCCTGGCCGTAGGCCTACATAACATCTAATTTCATTCCTTGAGTCTTTAAAATAGGTCTAGAATATCCCATATTAAACGTTCAGTTTGTTTAGTTTATTAGGGTCCACTGAATCAAGGAATTCCTTAATTGTTTATACTTAATATTGAATTTGAAGTAACTTTCTTCGAGTTCTAATTAACCTCCTTTTAAAGTAATTTTTAATTACAATTCAATTTTCATGGTTGTGTGCAATATTTCCAGTGATGAAAAAATGAGGTACAGTATTTTTTTTTTTTTTTGCACACAAACCTAACCCACAGTTTGAAGAATGTAGATCTAGATTTCAAAACCAGCTGTTTACCATGCAGAGAGGATTAGCAATGCCTGTTAAAATACTATGGTTACAGGAGCATAGTTAATTACTGGGATTTCAAGTTAAAACCATTATTTACTCAGCACTATTGAAAGGTTATTCTGCTACAAACATCTGCCAAATGAGGTAATAACAATCATGGATGTCTAGAAAAAATTCTATGTCAGCACAAATAGGTGGTCAGCAGTTTCATCAGTTAAGGTACGTACAAATGTCTTGTTGAATTCCAATCTACATGTGATCGCTACTTGCGGATACTGGCATTCATCATGTTAGATACGTTGAAATAAAAGTTAAAATTAAACATGCGCGAGTGCTTTTTACATTTTTATGCCACTTGTTCGCAATTCCACATCTTGTACACAATTTAAAATATACAATTAATTCATTTGTTTACATCATAATAGCCATCCTACATACATATTCTGAAAAGTTATGATTATAAGTGCAGAAAAGTAATTAATCAATCATATGTTTGGGGATTATTTGTAATGCACATTACAGAACCTAAGGCAACAAGTGCATGAGAAAAAAAGAAGAAAACAAATCATTATAAAAATGCAATAAACGATATGGCAATTTTTAGCTTTAAGTTGTTACAAAAAAAAAAACAACTAGGATACTGTTATCCTGATACATATGCGATCCCATTGGAAAGAAGTTTAATTTGTTTCAACTTTGTGTCATCCTGGTTTCTTATGTTGTTTGTGGTTTTTTTGCAAATTTTAACTGTAAAATTTTATTTCATATCTTTGTATTTTTGTTATTAGAAACCAAATAAAATAAATAAATTAATCAGTACATGTTTAGCCCCATCCTCCTATGACTCCTTGGACAGGTATGACTTCTTTTAGAATAACCAACTCAGGAGACAGATATTCTATTTAGATGCCTGTACCATTGATTGTATCACTCAAAGGCAAGGTTGTGAAAAAGTTTCATATAAAAATTCCCTGCAGATTCTCCCACATGCTAAATAGTGAGTCAGATTTTTTAGACCCACTCCCTTCAATGATACATGATATCCCCACTTCTTCCCGGATGATTCAGCCATTCCCCTTCGAGGATGAGTCATGTTTAGCCTAATCCTCTTCCTTCTACATCGTCGCTCACATCACAAAATAACACAATGAAAGTACTGTAGACTGTATTACTTTGTAAAAACGAAAAAGTGTGTTAAAATATGTGCAGTTTTTGTATGGCGAAGAATACAAAAGTGCTTGACAACCAATACACGGTTATTTTGATGCGTTTTTTTTATTTTCACAAACTAACATAACCGACTTTGATTGTGTTAGTTTGTGGTGTGACGACATGTTCAAACTATGTTTGCCGATTGCAACATTGTATTACGTTCAATTGCCAAATTAGGTTCATCAATTATAACACTATCTAATAATGATGGTCCTGCATTTGTGTGTTCCTTGAGACCCATCATTGGCATATAGGGTCACCTTAAAGTTGAAAAGAACACCGTCATCTAAAAAAAAATGTCACTTATGGATTCTTTGGCTTGGAACATGACTTGACACTGACATTTGCATTAGAACTACACATATATTTATTTGAAATTCCAATATCTCCTTTCTTCAATTAATTTAATTTAAATTTGTTTTTAAGGTTGTATCTTTGTAACTCTTACACACTGAATTATTATTTGTTATTTTTGTTGCCAAATAATAGTCAAGTCAAGTCATCCAACACAATTTTTAATAAAATAAAAATTTTTGATTTTCTACCTGAATTCCTTGTCTGCTTCAAGTAGGATAAGCAATGCCTCTCCATATTGTCTGCGTTTCAGACAAGCCCGGCCCTTCTCATTCAGTGTGAGGGCGACAGACAGGGCATGACTCTCTTCCTCGGGAAGGTTGATTGGTTTGCCTGTTTGATCCGCAATTTGAAGATGGTATCTTTCATGATCATCTGTTTAAAATCAATAATAATCTGGGTACTGGGGCGGGAATGGTGGCGATGAGATAATTAACACGAACAAACAAAATTAAATTGCAGTTATAAATATGCGTCTGAAGTGTTTACAAATGCTATTGAATCTAATTCCATATAGTGTCGAAACATGGATGCTCTCTGGGCCCAGCCGCACCCCTTGTTTAGTTGCTAGATAGGAAACCCAGTCTGCCTCTGATAATAATAGTAATAACATAGATAAACCTTCAAAGTCTTAAATTAATTACCTGCCACTTTAAAGGTGTATACAAAGAATTTAGGAATGTTATTCAAGCAGAAAGTAATAATTTTGTTTTAATTTTTTTTTATCAAAAGCTAACAACTCTACATATATACAAAGTGATATTTATATTTATGGTTTATTGGCTTTATATTTAACAGCTTATAATATCATACTTTAAATTAGTTCCAGGATATGAAATGTGACAAATATTTCTACAAACCTTTCTTTCGTTTGGCAAGAACCTCTGCGACTTCCTTTGTGCGGGCAAGCCTCATTTTTTTAGCTTCCTCTTCATTGGCTTCAAGTTCACTGGCTGTAAGCATGATTACCATGACATGTGACCCATGCTTGACCATTTGGCTAGCTAATGACCTCTGCTCATCAATGACCTGTCCGACACTAATGACCTTCAATTTATCAACTTCAATTTTCCATTTTTCTGATATTCTACCAAGTAAATAGTAACATGTTATGTGTAAGATATATTGCCACAAAAAAACAAAAAAAACAAACCTAAAAAAATAAAGTAACATTTGAAATTGCTCATTTAATAGAACAACATAACTTATCATTGAGTTTGTTTTTAATAAATTTTTTATACTTCATATTTTTTTTAATAATTCTTTTTTACTCTATCATTTTATTATCAGTTATATCAATGAGAAAATATCATATATCAGTCTAGTTGTTGTCAAACCAACTGAACTACCTCAATCAATATTCACAAAATAATACTTAGAATAACATTTTTTTTATTTTTTTATCAAAACTTACATTTTTTTCAATGCTAAGCCACTTATATCTAATTTTGTTTGCAAATCTGACTGCCTGTCGGCAGCTCCCGTAGGCAGGCTACCGACAACTTTAACCTTAAGTGTGGCAACACCATTTTCCCGAAACTGCTGCTTAGCTGCTAATTTTTGCAAGGCATGTTTCCGAAGCTTCTCTATGATTTGTGCAATTACATCGCATTCAGCTCTCAGGTCTGACGAAAACTCTTCAATGAGTTTCTAAAAGAAAAACAAAGTCTGCTGTAAATCAATCATACACCCGAACATTTTGTATTTATATATATTGAATTATTCATTTGAAATTTTTAATTTATGATTTATTTTGATTACAATGACATTTTAGCAATGATTGATATTATTGTCACTAATGACAACATATTAAAAATAAGCTCTTACGTAATTTCTACTATGCATAATGTCAAAGGTCAAGGTATTTAAGCAGTCCTGACCTTCAACATAGATATGTACAGTACTAGGAATTATGGCTTACTAGTGGCTTATTACGTTTCATATGTTACAGCACGGATGAGTTCATGGAGGGATCAATGGGCATCCACCCCTTCCCCTAAGTTGATGGGTTAGCGGTAATGCCAGGGCAGGCTCACTGTAAAAACAAATGCTCCAATAGCGAAATGATGACACAAACTCAAGACAGGAAGAGGTGGAAGATGGGCGTGTTGTCATGGGGCGTGAAAATCAGTAACCCTTTGTAAGAGGCAAAATAAATGATGATGATACCATACCTCTGGATATTCACCCTTTTTACCGTCCACGGTATACGGAGAGAGCCAGAGCTTGATTTTACCCTCGTTCAGCTTTTTACGCACTTGATGCTCCAATTCTTCCATGCATTGGTTCATCTTGACCTAAATATTAAAATTAGTAAAAGCATTATAAAATTTGCATTTTTACTTCATTTTTGTTCTCCCTGAAATTACTGTCTTTTCACCAACCATTGCAACATGCCTCAAAAATATAGTTTTATCTATACTTTAACAAGTCACATAAATATTATCTACTTGATTTTTCTTTAAATTTCTAAATCAGAAAGATATGATATAAAATTAGTTCATTAAAATATCTTGGTAATGGAATGTGATTTGTAAATTATACCTGGTCTTTAAAACCCTTGTCATATATGCCAACAATATTTTTCATGTTGCGACAATTGCTTCAAACAGTAGAACATTCCAAGTTTATAAATTACTGCGAGAAATGCCTAATTGACATTTGAGCGATTTATTCATAATCCTCTTGAATATCTTACATTGATTTTTCCTATTAAGTGTTACGTCGTTGTTGAAAGAACTGATCTTTACATGTCAAAATGTGTCATTATAATTTATAGGTGTTAATATTATGTATATAATAGTGATATAGACTACAGTTAGTTTAATATGTAAACAAGAAAGATTTAAAAAGTAGAGTTATTTGAGATTTGCAATGGTAAAAGTAACGCAAACTTCCTTGGCAGTTTAAAACTGAAACAAGGAGTTTGACTCTGCATATTACATTAACACGTCATATATTGTTTCAGTCATGTCATAACAACAACCAACTCCAAACCATGTGACTGTCCATACATACCTATGACATAGCCCTATTTAATTCATCTTTCACTTTTTGTATAGCATTATTAATTCAGTTCAGTGATTAAAATATACCGATTTTCGGGATCCATATACTGGAGAAAACTGCGCAACATTTAATACCTACACCTACTATTGCAACACTCAATGCAATAGCAGAAACAGGTAGGTAGGGAGGTCTAATATAATCGTGGCGCTTGTTTGGGTAAACGCCAACGGTCTAGTAGGCCTAGCTAAAACGCCTAGCCTAGGCCTAGGTAGGTATGACTAAAATGGTTGAAGAAATTGGTGTGAAACCCGACACAGGGGTTTAAATAGAACTAATTTATTAACGAACATGCTCACTAATAGTTATGTAAATCAGATTTTACAAACAATATTTAGTTTAAATACAAACCAGATCGTAAAACAACTTTCTTTTTGCTACATCACTCAATCGACAACAATAAAATTTATCTAGAGAAACTACAGCGGGTATAATGAAAGGAATGAAAACAATAATTTAGAACGCAAATTTAAAGCACGGCGGTCGGCTTAATAGCAGTAAAATAATCAAAACAATCGTGAATGACCCACACAAGAGTTCATCGTGTTGGAAAAAACATTTCAGAACCGGAAAGATCATTAGAAAAAAAAAAAAACAGAATATTATAAGAAAGGGTCTTGGCCTGTCTGGACAGTAAGTTAATGAACGTCCAAGCATTTTTGTAGGAATTTGTAAAATTAACGTTCTATATAAAGATAATATAGTTGGTAGGCCTAGGCCTGGTCTTACGTTATCTTCCTAGCCTAACTACCTAGGCCTAGGGCCTAGGCCCTAAACCTAGCTTAATTGGGTCTAGCTAGGCCTAGGCTAGCTAGGTGCCTAGGCGCACCTAGGTCGTAGGCTACCTAATTGTTTGTGAGGAATTAAGGACCTAGGCTATACCTCTAACTAGCATAGCCCTTGTCATATTATAGCTAAGCATTTAGGACAGAGGCAAATGACATTAAAAAAATATTGAGAGATTTAAATAAACTTGAACTTGAACTTATTTGGATGTGGGTATAAAGTAATTGAATAGGCTATTTAGCCTCTTGAGACCCACAGTCATTTATGCCATACTGCCCAATATGGTGTCAGCATCCTTGTTCAACCAATGTTGGTCCAGTCGCTTTTAAAATATACTGTAGTTACAGAAGTTGCTTCAACAATATTGGATGGGAGATTGTTCCAATGCTTAATAATTCAAGCTAAAGAAGTTCTTTCTGATTTCTAGGTCTTTATTCATAGACGACTTTGTATATTTGTGACCACGAGTGATGCTAGCAGGATTAGATGAAAAAAAGATGGAGCTGTCAATGTTCTCTTTATTTGTAATGATTTTGAATGCTTCAAAAAGATCTCTTAATCTTCTAACTGCTAAAGGATACAATTTCAGTTTCATGAGTCTTGTTTCATAAGGATCTGATTTGATACTATCCTACCAAATATAATACAATTTAAAATACAGTACATAAAATAGGACCATTATAATATTTACTAGAAGAAATAAAAATTACAATAAATATCACCATACCAAAATCATAAAACCCAAAACACCATTATTATTATCATTATTATTATTATTATTATTATTATTATTATTTAAAAAAAAACAGATGGAAAAACACACACAAAAAAAGCAAAGCCACAATCACAGCAAAATAGCAACAAATCAGGGTAAAAACAAGAAAAAAATTAAAACAGAAAAAATAATAACAGGAATGGATATATAGAGATAATTGGATTATGACTGTTATTCATAGGTAAAGTTTCTGCTTGCTATACAGTAGATGAATTACATAATTTCTTGTATGCAGTTTTGGCCTCCGTTGTTTTCTTGTTCTTTGTTTTCCTTTTTTTCCTTGCGACATTCTTTTTTCATGTTCGATGCGAGAAAAAAAAAACCTCACTCCCTACCATGAAAATTTATAACATAAGGATGCTAACAAATTTTTTTAAATTTTACATAGCCTTAGCCTCTGTAGTTAGGCCTACATAACAAAAGTCAAGAGCCATCCATACCTGTATTCAGTACCAAGGCTTCACTAAAACTTATTGTTGAATGCGCACGTTTCATTCTAAATTCACGGTTTTTGTCTCCAGTTGGGGTTTTGTATTTAAAAAAGCAAATTATATTTGTAAAGCTTGAGCCTCGGCCAAATGCAAATTGTTAGCTCGAAATAAAAAATTTTTAAGTAATTCATACGTAACTCGTGCAGGCTGTTGTTCTCATATGTGGATCTTTATCCTCTCAAACTAGCATCCGCTCAAAGTAACTTCTGCTCGAATCTGCTCAAACTGGCATTTGCTCAAAGTGGCATCTTCTCGAATTAACTGTTTCCTAGAATTTTTTGTGTGGAGGATATCACAAAAACCAACTAAAATTTGTGTGGAAAATCACTAGGAAAATAGGTGCACGGAATCGTAATTACTGCTACAGTTACTATGCGGAAATTGGCCCTTATTTTCTGAAGTGTGCGGACAGAGTTTCAGGCCTAATTTTTGCGCTGAAAATATATTCCCAACGCAAGCCTTATTTTACAGTCTGTATCTGGTCTGGGTCTGGTGTGCTGTTGTGGTCGGGATCTGTTGTGCTTCTGGTCTGCTTCATGTGTACACATTGAAATAAAGAAGGATAAAAAGGAGGTAGTATATGTTAATGTACTACAATTTACACTAATTTAATTATAAGGTGCTCTACTTAAAATGTACGCATCTACAAATGCTATTTGTATAATGTTAGTTAATATGTACACATCTACAAATGCTCTTTTGTTGCTATGTTAATATATCATTTCATCAGTTTTTACTGTCATAAATTTACCCATTTTGTTTTGTTTATCTTTGTACAGTATAGTAGGAGATATATTTTTGAATTTGCAATCATTGTTGGAATTTTCAGATCTAATGAAGACATCACACATTTGAACCGATTTTTAATACAAATCAAAATCTGGATATGGTTGACAAAGGATGCAGGATCACAACATCACACTGTCTGAGGGTAATTTGAAAATTTAGATTATTTAAATTAACAGTCTCTTTCCTATTATCCTGCCTTCAGATATGGGAAACCAACTTGGCCTACTACCAAACTAAGGCTTTAATATCTTGATGCAAATACTATGGCTTCAGTTTCAACGCCTCAAAAACAGAGAAAAGGTAAAACTGAAATTCCTGGAGAAGAAATCACATGGTTCAAACCCTTATCACCTGAAGAGACTAAGAACACAGGATTTTCCTTTCTAAAACTGTTTCGATGGACCTCAAGCTCAGGTGAGGATAAATTTTTAGCATTTCATTTTTATGTTGAAGTAGGTGCCTATGTCTATCATGGCACCGCATTTTAATGTTTGAATATTGTCTGTATGGAGATATGCTTTAATGCTACTACTTGGTAAGACCAGAATAAAATATTTTTTATTTGTTTTCCAGAGGTTAGCAACAGCAGTTCTCCAAGAAGAGGACAATCACCAGTAGTATCTCGGGGAACATCACCGCTACATGGACAATCTCGAGGAAGCAGTCGGGCATCTTCTAGAAATCCGTCACCATTACCAGAAGCTAGAGAAGCATCTGAAGTGAGAGATAAAGATGATCACCTAAATGATGATGAGGGAGACATTGAAGATAATGATGACGATGAGAGCTGGACTGAAGTAAGCAAACAAGACAGCTGGAAGGATATGCCAACCAGAAGTCTAACCACTATTGTTAGTCACCTCAGCAAAATAATTGAAAGACGAGGACAGGTAAGACAATATAGTAGCAGATATGGGAATCAGGGTACAAAAGAAACAATAAGATAAGATAATATGAGATATATATGAAAAAGCATAAGAAATGAAAAGGAAAGAAAAGAAATAAAGTAAATACAAGAAAATCAAGGATACATAAGAAACAAAGAAAAAGAAGAAGTATAAGGAAATATTGCAAAGGTAATCTAAAGCTAAAGAAATATGCAGGAGGTATTAGAAAGCAGAAAGGAAAGAAAAGGAAATTATAAGGAAAACAAAGACAAAAAAAATAAAAGGTAGGTAAAAAGGAATCACAGAAATTTGGAAGCACAGAATGAAATTGAAAGAAATACTAAAATAGAAAACAAAAAACAAGGAAATAAGCTAATATTTGATAAGTCTGTGACGGTAAGTTCTCTTTCCTTCTTATTTGCATATCTGCATAACAAATGTAATTATTAAATGGTTTAATTTTTTTTTTCTCTAGGGTCCTCCTTTTGTTTTGCACAGTTAAAGCTTGTCAACTACTCTGATAGTCAATGACAACCACTTGTTCTGTCGATTCAGAATTATTAAGAACTTTATTATTTATTATTAAATAAACATTTCTTTTTTATTTGCTTTTTATTTTGCTTGAAAATTGTTTCAGCCAACAACATGTTGTCATTTCATTTCTGTAGACACCACAAGCCTACAGAGACAGTGACTTCAAACAGTACTGGATGCCAGACAGTCAGTGTAAGGAATGTTACGAGTGCGGTGACAAGTTTACTACATTTAGAAGACGCCATCACTGCCGTGTCTGTGGCCAGATCTTCTGTAGTCGTTGCTGTAACCAGGAAGTGCCTGGAAGAGTTATGGGTTACACTGGTAAGCGGCTGCTAAGTGAATTTTGTATGGAGTAAAATGCGTGGTACAGTGGTTATTATTCAACCTCTCATCTTAACCATGAGTTAGCATTCAAATCCCATCTCGCCAGTGGCATATCTGGATGTGCACAGGGGCATTCCCCAACCCCCCCCAAAAAAATGCTTGCACTGCCTAGGTTCCCCCTAGAGACCTCCAACTGAAAATGTTCAAAGCCAAAAAATTTGCTCAAATAGTTACATCTCGCTTGTGTCTTTGACAATGCAAATTCCTGTCAAAATCAGATATTTTTAATACTAATTCCAAAACCTAATTGCTCACAAGGGATAAGATTGAAATATTCCTCTAATTAAAGACTTCTCCAATTATTGACCACCTCCAACTAAAGACCACTTTTCTGTGTTCCCAAAACAACAAATGTTATTTATGTTTATTATTCTAATTAGAGATCAAAGCTGCTAAAGAACATAGAAACCTTTAATTGGAGGCAGAACTGTATATATATAAATGAATCAATAAATACATCAATGAACATAATTTATTTTTGAACTATAAGCAGTTCATATATCCTTGTATTTTCTTCAACTAGGTTATCTTCGTGTTTGCACCTCTTGTTGTAAAGTGGTGTTAAGTTACGCCCATTCTCATGATCAGAACGATCTGAAAGCCTTACAGGAGGACCTGAAGAGCGCCACCGAGTCAGCCCTGCTATCCATAGCTAACCTCAGTCTGGACACCCTCTCAACTAAAATGAAGGACGATTTTAGGGGCAGACGTAGGTACGGCACTAAGCAATATACTCAACCAGTAATATTTTTTGACTGACGATCTAGTGTGGAAAATTGACGATCTAGTGTGGAAAATTGCCTGTCATAGTTTTACTATATTTTTTACTTAAATGTTTTAATTAAATTTGAAATAATTATTAATAATATCTTATGTTATTAATACGGTCAAATTTAACATTGAGTATTATTACAAAATAAAACATGTTTCAATCTACTGTATAATATTTCTGATGTAATGATAGTAGCAGACTAGAGCTAGTTGATTTTTTTTATTATTTCTTTCAAGACTTTATGATCCATCAAAATAATTACTTTGGTGACCCTCTGGTGGGTTTACAAAAATAGATTTATACAATTTTTTAACTATGTTTTGCCTTTGTAGAACTTACAGCTCAAGTAGCATTGATTCTTCAATACTAGCAACGAGAAACCCATTTGAAGTTGGTAACTTAACCTCATCAACTGAATCAGAAAACAGACGTCATGTAGTTGAGAATGAACGACAGCTACTTTTAAAGGTTAGGTCAATTTGTTTTGAAAAGTCATGTTAATCTTATAAAAATAGAATCAGCTTGTATCAACAAGTAAGCAACACTCGAAATAATCAAGGAGAATTTTCTAATACAACGTGAACAACACGATCTTTTGAAAAAGAATGAGGCTGATGCATAGTTGCATTTATATTTTTGATTGCATTGTTTATTTTCTGTCCTTTTTGGTTCACTCGCATCACCCATTAAATCCTTGCAGATTTTTTTTTATGAGCTGTCGATAGGACCTTAGCAACAATTATCCATGGGTGCAGGACTTAGTGAAATGTTTTACTCCGATGCATAGCATAGCTGGTATAGGGTACTAAGCTCTTCGTTGGTTGTTAATTGTCTCACTAATTTATTTAAAACTACCACTTATTTTCTTCAGAGCACAACAAAAGTTGAACATGTAAAAGCACCAGCCATTATTTATTGGTTGAATTGATTGGTTGATTTTTTTTTTTTTTTTAACTTCCCCAATAGGACTCAATACAACTCCGAGATCTCTGGCTTCTTATGCTTCAGCAAGGAAATGGTATCGAGTTTCAAGGTCATCGCTATCGGTTACGCACTTACCCTGATTGCATTGTGGGATCGCAGGTTGTTGATTGGCTACTTAGCACAGATAAAGCTACAGATAGGTTTGTGTTATATTTTTATTTTCAGTAGAAAATTTAAAGCATATACTATACTTTATATTTATCGTACTGTATATTTTTATATTTGTATCAGAAAAGCTGAAACACTAGATAACAATAGAGTGTTGGCCAAAGAGGGAGGAAGTCATATGTATTGTAATTGATTTTTTATTTTACTGTATTTGATTTATTTTGATACCATACATAAAACGTACAATAAACAATTTGGGAATGACATGAATGTAAAAATGAATAAAATCATGTGATATCAGGGACAACCCTTTAAATCCCTTATATTATTGTATTATATAAGTGGCATTACAAATTAATTACTGAAAAAAGAAAGTTGTTCTTGGAGCACTTTTCTTTTATATTATCAGAGTTCAGGCTGTGGCAATTGGTCAGGCTCTTCTAGATGCTAAGTGGATTGAATGTGCTACAAGAAATGAGCAGCTGTTTCGAGATGAGTATGCCCTTTATCGGCCGGGTGAGGTAAGTGTTATATATACAAACATTACATTTTATGGGAACTGGGATAATACCTGACAGTCATTAAGCCATTGTGTTTTCGTAACAGGCTGCAAGACAAGGGAACTTCCCACCGGAATTAGCACAGGATAAGACCCCGCTATCCAACGAGGATCTGATGGAACCTATCTGGTTTCGTGAGATAACAGATGGGGAGGCCAATGATTCTGGTGAGTTCTAAATCTTGAGAATCTTGTTTAATAACTGATTTATCATGATTTTTATTTATCAGTCCACCAGTTGATTGATTAATTGATTGCTTGATTGATGGATTGATTGCATAAATCATGGCTCTTCAGAGAAATCGTCTTACAACAAATCATATACCAGATGGATCTTATCAGACAAAATCCTATAGGATTTGTCCTTTAATGTTCTGCATTCCTGAAGTCCTATAAAAATGTTTATATTAGAGCCTGTAATATGCATTGCATTAAGATCCTGTAGGCATTTCTCTATAAGGTCCTTTAGGATTTGTCTAATATGATTCTATTATCCTGAAATATCTTGATAGGACTTGTTTGATCAGATCCTATAGGATTTGTCCTGTGCGATCCATCCTATAGGATTTGACATATATAGGGCTTTCCATGTCTAAGCCAGCATCTGTGACCAAAACAAGAAAATTGATTTTTAATATTTTCATATTGTGAACATTATAAGCTTTCAAATGATAAGTCATTTTACTGGAATTGACTTACTATCACTGAAATTATGAGTAAAAGTATTATGTTGTCTCTGACAGTGCTAAAGCATACAATACTGTCATTTTCTATTCTAATTACTCAGTTTAACATTTAGCAACAGTACACTGGTTTTGTGATTGATTAAGTCACCATAATATGCTATATTTTTCAGTGATTAGTTTATATTTATAATGCCTGATTTATAAGTAATTAAGTTGCATATAGTATGTTATAGCATGTTTTAACATTTTCGAATTGTCTATAATTACCATCTTGCAGGCTCGCTATCTGACATGGAGAGGTCAACAGTTCTGAGCAACTCTGGTGATAATTATCAAACGTCTTCATTATCGGTGGCGCATTCATCTGTTAGTTCACAGTTCAGGAAACCATTGGGATCAAACAACTCAGAAAAAAGTGAGAAAGCGCTGTAATAATAATAATAATAATAATAACTTATATAGCGCATTTTCAACTAAAACTGTTCAATGCTCTTGACAAAAGTTAAAATGGGCAAATCGAGTCCAAATACAGTACATTAGAAATAATTATACAAATGCTTAAGCTTAAAAATTTAAATAAAACAGGATTTAAAAGGAAGCCAACAAGCTCTAGACAGGCCCTTGGTTCAGACACCCCTTCTCGGACCACTGGTCGGCAGATTTCTGGACCCACCAATGTTGAGAATCACTTTGAGAGTGCTGTTTTCCTGATGTCACTGTTTATTTAGTAATGAAACTTTACAATGTAACAAACCAAACAGTTTAACCAATCACATTCCACTATTCAACATATTTCCCACAAGTAAATCTAGCTTCTGAGACATTGCCCCAAATAGGTCTATATGGTGAGTATATTTATCAACCATTAAAAAATTATGAAATATCTTTTATCTCTCTGTAGATGCAACTGGAGGTGACATTAGTGCAGGCCCATGGGAGCTTATGTTTCATCAGCATGCTGTTTCAAATGATTCAAATGGACACCAGGGTAAGATTGCCAAGTTAACCAGCAATGCTATCTGGTACATACATATAATGTTTATTATGCTAAGCAGAGCCTTTTATTGAACCTATCCCACCTGAATATCGAATATCGAATATAAAGTAATTTTTCAAAAATTAAATTTAAGGAATTAGTTACAGTTCTACTTGTTAAGATAAAAGTTTGATGGGCTCACATATTTGTGCATGCCTGTAAAAATTTAAATATCCTGATGTTTATCCATTGATACATAGCCACATTTATATCTACAGCATTATAATCAAAGATCTTATAAACACAAGGTAGCGTTTTCCGCGATTTCCGCATGCAAATTCTGTAATTTCAAATAAACATAGGCCTTGGCCCAAAAATTTATACAAGCATTGAACCATGGAACAATAAAAAAAAATTATTGACAACAAACATTATGTTTCCGTCTATTATAACAAAGTGTATGGCAGCCTCTTGCAAAAGTGAAAACTTTTGTACTTTGACCATAGCGTACGCCGCACGATTTTACGTTTACGCGTAAAGCTGGTTTTCCACTATTCGCCTAGTGGAAAACGGGCATTACAATTAGAAGCTTCCAATTTACAATGCGCCCTCTCTTTAGAACATGAGGAACAATTAACGTACTTGGTAACAAACTTCGGCGTAACACGAACATACTATCTTAAATCCATGGCAACGACTAGGACGCCCTCTTCCAAAAGTGATTACTTTTCTGTGCCAAATCGACGCTTCTATTTGTTATGCGTAAATCGCGGAGAACCCCATCTTGTGTTTATAAGATCTTGGATTATAATGTATTGTGAATGTGATAGAACATTTAATATGCAAAGGATGATTTTATTTTCAGATGTTTTACATGGAGTACATGAGTTAAATCAAGTGACAACTAATGAGCCACACGGTTGGCTTGATGTAGAGGATCTGAATGATGAGAACGGTGAAAAGATGGCTATGGAGAGGCTAAGCACTGCCAATTTCAAACACTTGGTGGCGCTGTTGAATCAGCTACTTGATAGTGAGAAACTCCCACAGCACTGGAGCCAGGTTATCTTACCAATGGTAGAAACAATTAGCAAAGAGGTAATATGAATATTCATGTTTTTTATTTGTATCTGTGGACTGTTGTAAAAAATTATTATAAGACTAAATAATTGATTATTGATTGTTTTGCATTTGTAATAGCCATAGTTCAAAGGTGAAGCTTAATTTTATTTTGTTGCGCTTTTTTTTGTTGCTATAGGTGAAACCAGATGTACGGTATCGCAATGATGAGATGGATATTCGCCACTATGTTCATATCAAGAAAGTGGCTGGAGGGAGTCTATCTGATTGCCGTATTATAAATGGAGTGGTCTGCACAAAAAATGTTGCTCATCGAAAAGTAAGAAAAACTGTGTCGCACAAAACAAGCTATCATTTCTTATCAAGTACAGAATTGGGAAATATTTGATTCACATACTGTACCTGTCTCATAAAGTATGACCAAAAACAAAGTTGTATTTGCTTAAGCCCAACCAACACAAAAACTTTAAAATCCATATTTGAACTTCTGACCTTGTGATTGGAAGTGCCGTAACTATTTGAAACCTGAACTTCTTAACCTAATTTGACTTTAGACCTGCACCTCATCTGAAGGAAAATCACAGAAATCGCTCTGTTTTAAAAAAAAATCATATGTGATGATGATGGCCATTGTCACAATTTAGTCAAGTAAAAGTGCATTCACACTAAATCCAAATTTTTTTGATCAGATAGCCTATTGAACTGTTAAAAAAATAGGATCAGTACTACGCTTACATGGAATGCTTTGGAAACACGATCCAAATTTCAGTAAATGCAGCTTAATGAACTTTGAATATGACATTCTTTTGTAAACAACATAAATAAAAGATCTGCATACTCTCAAAGAGAGGAATAAAATGTACCATCTCATAAGCTTGATATCAGATTTAAATATAAGATCTGCATACTCTCAAAGAGAGGAATAAAGATGTACCATCTCATAAGCTTGATATCAGGTTTACTTGGCACAGGAAAGTAAGCTGTAACCTAGTATATTAGGCTTACTGGGTTCAAAAGCCAACTGGCTATGATTACACAGACAACAATATTAGAATAATTATTTATCCACAGATGAGAACTGCCATCAAGGACCCAAGAATATTGATATTGGAATCAGCAGTGGAACATCAACGAGTTGAACACAAATTCTCATCAATAGAACCAATTGTACTCCAGGTACGAAAATAGTTTGTAAATGTGTTAACCCTTTCTGAATTCCTTAACTTATTAATTCTCATCCGTAGAGCCAATTGTACTTCAGGTATGGAAATAAATGTAAAAGTGTTAACCATACTTGTGCGAATAAGCGCCTCGTTTGAATAGGCACCCCTCCTAATTTGACTATCGCACCTCCTCAATTTTAACACATATGCAGTCATCTCGTCTTCGTTCATGGGGTACTATGAATAATCATAGTACTGAATATAGTATTGAATTTTCCAAGTTCCTGTAAGCACCCCTTCAATTTTCATCTATTTCCATTAATATGCCTCCTCAATTTCCATTCTGTTGATAATATCACCTCAGAGCAATAGATTTCACCATTCTCCTCATGAGTTAATTTCCTAGATTCTTAAGCTATGTGCACACTACGAAGTTTTATTTTGTACCATATATGGATGTGATATGACATCATGCCCATATATGGGTGTGGTATGACATCATCATGCCCATATATGGGTTTGATATGACATCATCATGCCCATATATGGATGTGATATGACATCATCATACCCATATATGGATGTGATATGACATCATCATACCCATATATGTGTGTGATATGACATCTTCATACCCATTTATGGGTGTGATATGACATCATCATACCCATATATGGGTGTGATATGACATCATTTGCCCATATATGGGTGTGATATGACATCATCATACCCATATATGGGTGTGATATGACATCATCATACCCATATATGGGTGTGATATGACATCATTTGCCCATATATGGGTGTGATATGACATCATCATGCCAATATATGGATGTGATATGACATCATCATGCCCATATATGGATGTGATATGACATCATCATACCCATATATGGGTGTAATATGACATCATCATACCCATATATGGGTGTGGTATGACATCATCATGCCCATATATGGGTGTGATATGACATCATCATGCCCATATATGGATGTGATATGACATCATCATGCCCATATATGGATGTGATATGACATCATGCCCATATATGAATGTGATATGACATCATCATGCCCATATATGGAAAGATAATAGATTTTAGTCACAAAAAAAATTGATAGTGTGAACAAGGCCCTAACAATTACAGTAAATAATATTCTTATTTAATTTCATCTTTCTGTGTGTTTTTTTTTCTTCAGGAACATGAGTATTTAAAAAACTATGTCCACAAGATTGCAACACTACAGCCAACAGTCCTGGTAGTGGAGAAGTCGGTTGCCAGATTAGCTCAGGATTTTCTGCTCAATTGTGATATCACAGTTGTTCTCAATGTAAAGCCAGTAAGTTTAAATATTCACTTTTTTTTTATACTGTTTTATGTCAAATGTATAGATTTATCCCATTACTTTTTTTTGTTGTTAAATTCTCTTTCAATAGTCCTCAAAGACCCGGTTCGGATTAATAATTATGTTATTGTTATTTTTATATATTATTTACTTTATATATATATATATATATATATATATATATATATCATTGTAATATTATATTATAAATTATTTTCTTTTCATATGCATATTTAAGAAGCTCCTTCAAGTCAGGTATAACATTTTCCATATTTTCATTTTTTTAATTTATTTTAGTCTGTTGTTGAAAGAATTGGGCGTTTCACAGAAGGGGATTTAGTTAAAACAGTCGACCAAGCATCAAAATCATGCCTCGGTTCTTGCCATTCATTCAGCATACAACAATTCAAACTTCCTAAAGGTGAGTAGATTATAGGTAATTTCTGGTAGTTAATAAATCAATTGAGATATGTACAAAATAGTATGAATGCCTTGCTCCAAAAACTGACAAGGCCATTTTATCAGGTTTGTATGTCTGGACCTGGTGTCTAATTATACTTACTTCATTATCATATATATAGAACGTGGGGATGTAATGTATCTGTCAGCTACTGCTAGGCTATCATGTGCAGGTAATGTGATGTAATACTGATTTTCAAAGCACTCAATGCTTAATATAACTCCTTCTGTAACTTCCTTCACCACTAAGGGTCACTTCGTGTATGCAGTACCCAGTAAACCGGTGTCAGGTACCCTCATCTGTCCACTAAAGGGATTGTATGGACCAGTACACCGTGATAACATCCTACTTTTTTAAGTGCACATGAGCCAATTGTATACTTTTTTATAGTACTCCAAGAAGACTTTATCCACACACTGTTCGACCACCAATACAGTAGATGAGCAAGCCGCTTGAACCAGTGTCAATATTATGGCTGTAGGTTGCTTGGCCATTTTACTAAAATACATGATCAGTGTATTGAATTGGATTGGATTTCTTTGGTGCAAATCACCAAAAGGATAACCGAAAAAAAGTCCAAGTCGGAGACAATCTCCTACACTCTACCGAAGAGTGTACTGTGTGGACCATATTACATACAGGACTAGATTCTAATCCGAAAGACAGTGTCTGCTGGAGCTTGGATCTAAGCATTCCATCTGAAAGACCAGCAGAGCAGCGATCAAATTGGCCTAGGCTCAACGCACAAGCTAAGCTGTTCTTCATGCCACAGTTCAACAAAATATTAAAATTTAATTTTTGTACCTATAACTGTGTTTTTGTGATGAGTGAATGTGTAAAAGAATATACAAATCAATAAAGGTTTATTCATGGATATTATGAAGGAAATATAAAGAAAGCAATGTTATGTTGTTCAATATTTTTTGGTGTTTTTTTTTTTTAGACTATACCAAGACACTTATGTTTTTTGAAGGATGTCCCGACAACTTCGGCTGCTCTGTCATTCTAAGAGGAGCTCACCAGTATGAGTTAACAAAGGTAAGTTTTATAACCTCTCAGACCTTCATTAAAAAAATCTGAGGAGAGCTACTAATAGCTCATCTCCAAGTGACAAGTAGCTCTATTGTTTCTCCTCAGAATTTTGCAAAATCGATGACATTATTTGAGGGGAAGGGGTGGTCTGGTTAAGAAAAAAAAAAGGTATTTTTCTCATTTGGAATTTGGAGCATTTTTTGAGGACCATAACTTCAAAAATAATGACAGAATATATCTGATTTTTACTTATCCTCTATATCTTTTGTGTGTAGTTTTATGTGTATTTTTTCTGGGTTGTTTTCTAATAAGGTTTTTGAAATAATGGCCTTTAATTTAAGTCTGTCCCTAGGTATTTATACCTATTTTCTGCGCATGCCTCAATGGCAAAATCGGCTTAAAATTTCAACAGCATTTAGAAAACATCTCTCCAAAAGTTATGTCCTCCGAGTATGCAGTGAATTTGAGAAAGTAGACATAAATGTCTGAATCTAATGTTAATATTTAAATCATATCAATATTTTTTTTACCAAACTTCGACTTTAGTTTAACAAAATTATTAAAGAAAGAAACAGACCCATTAGGTACATTGCATAGGCCTGTGTGTGTTTACAAAATTTGATCATACTTTGCAATTGTACACCGTGACCCAAGGACCGGGACGGACTATAGGCTAAAGAAGCATCAGTATTTTTCAGTTCCCCAAAGATAGTAAACTTAACGGAGAATTGATATTACAAATTACAAATCTAATTAAAATGCCAAGGTACAGTAAGTCAGTTTTACATGCTGGCTTAAGTATAAAATTAAGTTTGTCTACCTGCGTGCAGCTACACGGTAGTTTACTACTAGGCTATGGAGATGCATCTTCATCTAGTCTAGTGGTGTAAATTCTACTCTAGGTCCTCCAAATCGAAAGACATATACTGTATTTTGTTTACTATTAAAATTTAACTTGCAGTGTTAAAAACAAATCTGCTTTATTTGATTAATTAATTATACCCATTGAGTTACGAACAGGACCGCTATCTCAATCGTTGCATGTGATAAATGGGGAACTGAATCTCAAGTATTTGCATGCAAGTAACGCAAGTTTCCAGTTCCAGCGGCCGCGTGCATGCACTGTAGTGGGCGACTTAGAACCGTCCATTTTCAAGAGGGGTATAAATTTGTTTATACTACGATTAATACGCATGTTGTAAGCAAAATTTTTAATGGGTAGAATGTGGTTTATCCTTACCTTTTTAGGAGTTCCCTAAATTTCACCGCGGTATCAAAGAACACATGAAATCCACATAAATAATAAATGTGAATATGATTTACCTTTAATTTAATGCAAAAATACAATTTCTGTCATTTTAGTTCCCTAGTAAATCAAGAAGTGCTATTTTTTGCTCTCCTTAAATCGTTTTGAGGAGCGCGAACGAGCGCCTGTGCGATCGCGCTCCTTTTAAATGAAGGTTTGCTCTTTTTATTAGCTGTAAGGAACACCAGTAGGTCATTTCTTGCATGGTTGTCTAGAAATCCAGTTTATTACATGTTATATATATCCTTTTTCTTTATCAAAGGTGAAAAAAGTGTTCCAGTTCATGCTGTTTGCAGCATATCATTCCAGGCTAGAGATGTCGTTCCTTATGGATGAGTTCGCCATGCCCCCAGAAATCTTGCAATGCCATGACATCACACCAACCAGCCCCAAACATCGCTCCCTCTGCTTCTCTGATAGCATCATGGAAGGTCTTATGAAAGTCAGTGAAGGGGAACAAACTGATGGAAAGGATGAGATATTTGATAAACCGGAGTTGGAAAAGGATGGTGCAACAAATGTGAAAACTCTTGATCCTGAAGTAGATAATTCTACACAACCTGTGTCTAATTTCCAAAATGCAATAATGAAGATATTTGGTGCTGGCTCTAAAGAAAAACAAATTCACATTAGTAATGATTCTGGCATAAATAGAGAGACAGAACCTGGAAGTAAGATGTCAGAGGATGACACATCTTTTACTTCAAATCCATCTGCTCCTGATGACGCTGAGGCTACTGATAATGCAGATGCAGAAAGCAAGGTTAATGAAGTTGGTTCTGCCAGAGCCCGTAGTTCAAGTAATCTTGGTGTGCAGAGCTATTCATCGCAGGTGGAGCTTGCAACCTCACATAGCCCGATTGATAACATTGGCCAGCTTCATCACTTTGACAGAGAAGGTGTTGATGGCAGCAGTGTTCTGAATCCTCCAGACAGTAGAAACTACAACTCTCAGATTAGTATGGAAGATTATATCGCAGAGTTTCATCAGACCGTTGATTCAGACGATGATGGTGAAGGAGAACAAGTATTTGGGAGAGGACGCACAACCAGTGTTATGGAGAAATTAGATTTCGAGGAAAATTCTGAAAATGAATCTGTCTTCTCCCAAGCTCTTAAGGAGACAATTCTAAATTCATCTCCCTTCATGAAAATGCCGTTACCATACTTAGAAACAGCGTCTGGTAAAGCATCGAAGTTACGAGAACACTTTCCAGAAAATTTATATTGGTCACCAAAGCTTTTTCCTCAGGATGCCACAGATGGGTTACCTCCATTCCTATGTGAAGTCTTGTATAAGTCAGTCGACCGGTCGTCAAAGCGCTGGACAAGTATTTCAGTTCAAGATCCTCATCCATTCCTAACTCAGCAGCTGACATTCAATGCCGCCGAAGACTCCACCAAGACAATACTAGCTGATTACAGAGCTCGTGGAAGCAGAATCCAGCAGAAGACGGCAGAAGGCGCACAAGACTTTTTGGATGAGTATCCTCTCAAAATGCCGATGACGTCTATTGCTGGTCCAGCTAGACCAATTGATTGCTTTGATCCTAAGCACCACCAAAAAATCACATTGCAGTTTAGTAGTTATTCCTGTCAGTCGTACAACGCTCCAAATTATTGTGTCAGACCTTGGACTGTCACTATGGATTTTTATGGGAAAAATGACATTCCTTTGGGATTATTCTTGGAACGTTATTGTTTCAGGTAAGATACAGCAATGTTTTCATTTATTTTATTGAAATATACCCAACAGAAAAATTATTTCTGTCTGTTATCTTTAAGATTCTTAAGTATATCATCTCTAAAATGTTTATCTAGAAACTCTTATAAGTGTCCGAGTGAGATTTGTGATGCGTCAATGGTGGATCATGTTCGTCGGTTTGTTCATAATAATGCCGCCATCCAGATACTTCAGCGCCAGCTGGATCAACCCATCCCAGGCTTTAAAGACAGCATATTGTCATGGAGCTGGTGTCGGAAGTGTAAACAGGTTAGGAGAATGAAATTTAATGTTGCCAGTAAGGTTGATACTGTTGATGGTGAGCTGAAGATGGTAAAAACATATATTA